CTAAATTGGTGATACTGAGATTTGGACCTACTTCCATATTAGGGTTTGGAACCGGTTTTATTTCGTATGTTAAACTGATCTTAATCGGTTTAACATATGAGAAATAAACCGATTTCAAACTAAAATTTTGGGGTCTCTTTTTTATCCTTTTGTTATAGTTAGGTCAAAGATTGAGGGTTAGAGTTGTTAATAAAGGGTATATGTGGGTCTTAGTAGGATTCATACTTTCAAATAGGGACTCCAAATTTCAGCATCAGCCGCAATATTGATTATAATTTAAATTTTAGTCTTATACCTGCTCTTGTGACAAGCTTCCATGTAATTCTGCAGCTTTCAACCCCAAAAGGCCAAAAATTATCTTCATTTCATGAGTAGTGGCTTTATTTTTGAAGAAAATTATAACTTTACGACGGAATGTTTTTTTACATAATGCAACTAACATAGAAGGCCGATCTTCCTCGCGATGTTTTCTTACACGAACAAACTCCTGTATGAGCTTTACTGCAGTTGCCTTTGTTGGATCGATCATTAGTCGTACCGGTCGATTCAATGAAAGGCGAATTAGTTCATCGACATTATCTGTCATGGTGGCAGAGAAAAGCATTGTCTGTCTCGATTTTGGACAATTCTTTACGATCTCATTTAACTCAGCAGAGAAACCATCTTCCAACATCCTTAAAATAAAAGGTCGTAAAAAATAATTAGAATCACAGTATTAAAGAAACCTAATTAAAATGAAATATAACATTTCATACCGATCGGCTTCATCAATTATCAAAATTTCAATAGTGTCTAGACTAAAAGAAGGTGAATTTCGCACATGATCGATCAATCGTCCTGGAGTTGCAATAATGATATCAGGGCGTGCACGAAGTTCACTTTCTTGTTTTTTGAGATTTAATCCTCCTAATAAAATTAATCACAACACAGTAATTTCGAAGAGACATGTAAGTAATAAATAAAAACTATAAGTATGTAACATAAATTGAATAATATATTTGATAACTAACCAATGCATAGACAAAGTGTTGTGTCAGTGAATGATGCCAATTTGGTTGCGACACTATGGCATTGAATAGCCAGCTCGCGAGTTGGTGTTAAGATAAGCACTCGCACAGAAGGAATCTTTCTTGGTCTGTATAGTAAGCGTTCTATAACAGGAACCAGAAATGCAGCAGTTTTTCCAGAGCCAGTAATAGCACCACCACAAATGTCTCTACCCATAAGAGCTATAGGAATTGTTTGTCTTTGAATCGGGGTAGGCTGTATAAATCCTAATTGACTAAGGCCTTTAAGAATAGGTCGAGAAAGATTCATTGTTTGGAATGATTCAGCATTGT